GAACAGAACAGAACAGAACAGAAAATCAAGTGATCCATCCCTGTCATCCAGTCTCAGCATCTGACAATCAGAGGCTTAGGGATATTGTAACTATTTTACATGTATGTAGAGCCTTCCATTTCAAAGGATGTCAGTGAGCTGTAGTGCTTCTCTAATAAGTATATGGTTCATTGAGGCTAAGGCTTAGAGTTGTATTGGGGGCAGAGAAGAGGAGCACTCCCATAGATAATTACAATTAGGGTTGCCAGATGGATTCATCAAAAATACTGGACACACTTGACATTACATCACAATCTACATGACATCTTATTTAGAAAATATCGGACCTTTATATTTTCTCAATTTGTTTCCTGAACAGAAAGCTCAAATACTGGACTGTTCGGTTCAAAACTGGGCACCTGGCAACCCTAATTACAAGCTGCACTATACTTTTACACCAGTGCAGTGCTTTCTGCAGCTCCATAGAGCTCAAGCAGGTTGTACTTCTTGGAGACAGTGCACTTTGTCGGCAAAAAGCGGCAGTGTAGAGGAGGATCTGTCGAGAAAGAAAGCCTTTTTCGACAGATCCAGTAAGCCTCCTTGCCGACAGAGGGATGCAGTCTAGACATACCCTCTCTGTCCCCTTTGGAAAATATAGGAGGGGTGGCCACGCTCAAGATGCCATTTTGGATAGCTTTTGCACATGGTCACGATGAGAGGTGTTCCTTACCCCCTCTCTTTCCATTACTTTTCTGAATGGGCATAGCTAAATCCATGTTAGAATCACATTGCCCAGTAGTGAAATGTGGCCACCTCTGAAGTGAAACAGCAGATTTTTAACACAGCATAGCAACATGGTGTAATAAATAAGACAGGAAGTGAATCATAATATACTTCTCTACTTCATAATGATCCAGATGAGATTACATGCGGGGGTTGTATAAAATATTTGTATTTAAATGGTAATTCAGAAGTGTTCAGGTCATTAGTGGTCATTTCTCACTTGTTCACTAAATGAAACAAAAAACAGGACTGTGTAGCACTTTAAAGCGCTACACAGTCCTGTTTTTTGTTTCAGCTGCACCAGACTAATACGGCTACATTTCTACCATTGTTCACTAAATGTATCTCACATGGATCCATATGTATTCTTTATCTGTATATGGTTTAGTTCATTTATTTTGAATACTTGCTTTGGTATGTGTGTGCACATGTGCATGCATGTGCTCATGTAAGAATTAATTTTACACAGGATTAATTTTGAAGGTTATGTTGTTTTGTTAAATTAACTAATACTTCTTTTGGCAGTTTCTTTCCCTGTTACTACTACAGAAAACAAATTTTGTTTTTTCCTTATGACTGCAGTTTAAATAGAAGATGTCCAATTCATTTAAACAGTTTCAGAATTCAGGGATTTAACTGCTATTCCATTTATTTTTGAATGGGTATTTCAAGGTTTAAAACTCTATTGACATTTTCAGAACTATAGGGCTGAATAATGCTAACATATTTTTTTCAAATAGTTTGTCGATCTCTTGCACAAACCAATGGATCTTTCTAGAAAATATAGAAAACAATTATTTGAATGTTTTTACCCTAATCTTTTGTGGGTTTGCATATTGTATGCTGTACAGTTACTATCTGAACAATAAATCACTAGGTTCATGTTCTACTCTGAGTTATCTTGCACAATTATAAACTCGCTATAATTTTTAGCTACAGTCTGGTGGAATGATTGTGGGAATTTGACCTTTGAGCTTTACCATTCATATGAAAGATGAACCTTTTATATAAGGCTATGTTTACAAACAATATCATAATCCTATATCCAGATCTTTTTCCACATGTGAACGCTGGGATTCTCTTAGAAATAGGTTGGGTGTTGTTAAAAAATGCTGTCAACAATTTTAACGCATAACCTGGTCTATAGTGTTGATGGCTAAAATGTGCAGAATGTTCTCGCAGGGTTAGACCCTACAGAAAACAGTGCTGTGCACACTGGTGAGCAGAGCATAGCATTGGGAGCCTGCTTGTAGGGCCAAATCTTGACATCAGCACGAATTCTGTCTAGGTGAGGAGTCTGGCTTTTTTTCCTCTCAAGAAGGGGAGGATCACAGACATTCCATTAGGATGGAGCTAAGAGTCTGAGGTGTGCAATCTTCTAATGTGAAAAAGGAGATCAGGAGCTCTTGGGCTTTAGAGCAGGGGTCTCAAACTCATGGCCCATGGGCCAACTATAGTTCGAGCAGTTCCACAATCCAACTTGCTCACAGCTGTTGGCATATGCGTCCCGGCAACCCTGGGGTGCTCATACCCTTCTCCCAAGTCCAGCTTCTGGTCTGCCTCTGCCCCATCTCTTCCAGCCCCACTCTGCCCTTTCACCCCATCACGCCTCTCAAGCCCCCTCCCCTGGGGGACACGGCCTTGGGGATTACCAGGGAGCCTGGCTTGGAGTGGCAGCAGGAGTTAGGTCTCCCTGCACTCACTGGAGTGGTGGGAGCTGTGAAAGTGGAGTGGCACAGCAGCCTCTGCTCTGCTCCAGTACCATCTCCCAGGCCAGCCCCATGGCTCCACTTCACCGCAGTAGTGGAAATGGAATGCCTTGGCCCCTGTGCAGGCTGGTTTGGGAGAAGGCAACCGAATGGCGCAGGCTGCTGATGCCACTGTAGTGAGTGCATATGTGTGTGTGTGGGGGCCCATCCCCTGCTGCCAGCCCCAGACCACCTAGGGAGCCACAGGCTAACTTGAGTGTGGGGGATCATCCCATCCATCGGATGGTTGGGGCAGCTGCTACAGGGCTCCACAAAGTGCAGGGGGTGGGGTGGCCACCCTGAACCATCCTATGGATGGCACAGCTTTGCACCCTCTCCCCCCCCCCCCCCCCACCCAGCACGGAGCCAGCAGCCAGATGCTGCTCTAGCCCCGCTACGCTACCAGCGGTGGTGCCGGGACTAATGGGGGGGAGGGGGTTAAATCTGGGGACACATGGCAGAGGGGAGTGAGAGAGACATGGGGGGAAGCATGTGGGCTGGCAGGTGGAGCTGGGAGACATGTGTGAGGAACTCACGGAGACCCCTGACCACTCCTCCTCTGGAGCCCTGACAGATGGGGATGCTCCCTGGCCTACTAGAAGGATTTGAGGACTGGCACTATCCCTATGGTAAATTGAGTTTGAGAACCCCTGCTTTAGAGTGTGTGTGCATCATACTGAGGGCAGCTGGTATTGCAGTGCATGGGGAAGATTAGCGGAGCTGGAGTTTAGTTAGGGCAACTTTTTTATATCCATTTCTGCATCATGGCTGTTGAAGTAGGAAAATGTACCTCTCAGCGTGCCACAGGATTACGGTAGTTGGCAGCAGCTGCCAAAGTACATTTCAGCTGCATTGGGCCCTTAGGACTGCAACACCTGCTGTATAAAATGGGAGGAGACAGTCCTTGCAAATGCAGTGGTCTAATTTGTATAAAGTGTCTGTGGCTTTTGCAAGAGCACATTTGAATGTTTTCAGAGAGAATAAATGTAACTCCTGCTGAGAAAAGATGTAATTACCTAAGGTAAAAAAAAAAAGCTCTTCAGAATGTTGAATTCTGTTTTCCCACTTTATTTCCCAAATACATGAATTTCTACAGATTGTGCATATAAATTTAATACAAATTCTTGGTGTTTGCTATTTCATGTTTTATAAAGCTCTTCTGCAAACTGTGTGGGCTGCTGGTGGAGAGGATTATATTTAGTTTCTCATTTATATTTATTTTATTATTTATTTAAAGACAGGGAGTGGCCTTCCTCTCCAAACCTACTGGCAGACGTGGGAGATAAAGCCATCTTTAGAGCTTCTGAATTTGTATAAGCCCAATGAAATATCTTACCACAAGGCTTCCCTTGTTTCTGGAATTAAATTAATCTAATTAAAAGAAAACATTTCCATCAGAGCCTCTCAAGGCAGCTGATGTTCCCAAAAGCTGGGGTGGTCCCAAATTTTCCTAATGATCAAGTTTGTGTGATTCTGATCCTATCTGCCTTGGGTTATCCTGTGATCCTTTGTGACATTGAATATTCAGGCAGTCTTGTATATCAGAATTGGGAACATCAAATGTGGGCTCTGCTAAACGAACTGGAGGAGGTAGACAGGTGGGAACCTTAAAATGCTTAAAAGCTTAATGATGTGTTTGATAAATGCCTGTCACTTTCTGGGAAGAGAAAGTGCTCTCATGACTTATTTGGGCAATTCCAAGAAGTACTTGTCTAGAGTTTGGGTGATGCCAAGTACAACAAAGAACTCACAAGAGCACTTCATAATAAGAGATGGGGGGAAGGGGGAACCTTTAGTAAATATATGGTGCAAAAATGGTTGAAATTCCTCACAATTTGCTCTCCAGTTGGTAAGTACTCTTAACTCCAATTGACTTTAGAGAGTTGGTGTTTGTAATGTGTCAGAACTGGGACATTACAAAATAAAGAAAACATCTGTTAATAAATGAATTAAATTCTCTGCATTTCTACTACCATATCTCAAATAGATTTGGAAAAGCCAGTTCTCTTCCCTGCTGATGAAAACTGAGCATATGATATTGTCCCAAGAAAAAGCTGGTTCATTACATATTGATATAATAACATATTATTGGATAGCATTCAAAGTTTATTTTAAAATCAGTTTGGCAGGTGATATTATGTGAAAACTAATAATAAAGCAAGGGCTACATAGTTGTTTTCTGATGCCTTACAAAGAACATTAGTTGTGTCAGGTTGTAACATTTATTGCTGTTTAAACAGTGAAATAAAGTATAAGAAAAAGAACAATGAATTATGGATGAATTTGCATTATAAGAACAGATTAGTAGTACTTCTGCATTGTTTCCATTAGTGATGGGTAGGTACTAGCCCAGATGTAAGGTGAAAAGGTGTAGAATTGGGGAAAAAGCCCAGTATATTAATAGATAACTCAGTAGTCAGACATTGTGCTGATGATAATTTGCTGATAATGATTGTTCATTATTATTTTGTTGTTTTTATTGTTCTGTAGCCTCAGACCATACAGCAGACTCTCCAAAGGACACTGCGATATTATGAGCATCAAGTTATTGGGTAAGTAAAAGAGAGTATGATAGTTATTAGAAGGGTGACTAAAAAATAAGTAAAAGCTGATATAAGTGAAGTAATACCTTTCTGCCTTCTAAGTAGTGGGTTCGGGAGAGCAACTTTTCTGAATTTTCTCAGAAATACTTAGAATTGCTTTTCAGTAATGATAAATATTATTATAATTTCATTTTTTGTTATTCTTCATCTCTCCTGCTGTAGTTAAATAAGTACAGCCCAATCCTGCTTTCATTCGAGTCAATGGGAAGCAGACTGAGCCCACAGAGGAGCAGGTGTAAAATTTATTTTCGTGTGGGGAGACTTTTTGTATTTTTCAGAATGTGCCCTTGACTGTCAGCCAAGATGGCATAACAGATTAATTGTTGTTAATATATGTTTGTCAGACCAAAAGCCCATTGTGTTATGTGCTGGACAGGCATATTGTAAATGCCAATGCCTACCTTAAAAGCCTTATATCAGTTTAAGGCTCAGATCCTGCAAACAGTTATTTGTGTCAGAAGCTTTTAAGTACATGAATAGTCATGTGGAATTACTCACTTGCATAAGCATTTGCCAGAAAAGGGCCTAAAAGACAAATTCTGACAGCTGGCTGAAACAAACAAACAGGTGAGGGGGAGAGAGAACAGGGTAACTATGACAAGATAATACTAATCATTCCAGAAATCACTGCCACCCTTTTGTTTTTTGTCTAGCTCCCACCTACCCAGGTGTTTTTATTGTCATAGATACTATTCCTAACAGAGCAGGAATACTATGCCTGAAAGACAGTATTAATTAAAAAACTGTGTCAAATGTTGAATAGTGTCCCTGACTGTATTTAATTACGGAGCTGTAATGGCATCTTTCCTCTATTACCCAGGTTGGGTCCAAGGTATGCCATAGTTAGGGAATTGTTCATGTACATTTTCAAATCTTTTTGTCAAAATGCACACAGCTCCCTATCTTGCTCTGTAGCATTTGTAAGGCTATCATGTCTGGCATGCACCCCAGGATAGAGAGAGTGTCACTGCTGTGGGGATCAAGTGTATCTCTTTGCTGGTAGTTATGACATCTACTATTGAGCAGATATGGGCAAGTGGGGGGAAGTCTTATGGCAATTTTTTTTGTTACTTGAAAAGATTGCTTTCAAGTTGCACAGTAGTAAATCTCAGGTGCCAGAGAGGGACTACCGTCCTTTAAGAACAGCATAATTACAATAACAATGTAGCTTTTAAATCATGGCCACTTTCAGAACTGCTTGCTTTTAATGGAGAGAAAAATAAGGCAGCTCCTCTTACATTCTAAAGACCTGTCACTCCTAATGCTATGCCTATTACTTAAGCTGTGTTTTGTTCCAGATAGATAACTCTATTTGCTTGCTAATCCAATATCTGCCTGTCTTCTAGGTGTATGATATTGGGCCTGATCCTGCTGTTCTTACTGTTGCCAGTAGGGGTTTTGCATGTGTAAACTCGCAGGATCTCTCAGATAGACTTTAGTTTAAAACACAATGCTCACATCAGCATAAATAGCCAGATAGGCTCTCTGAGGCTATGTCTAGACTACAGAGTTTTTCTGGGAAAAACTCTGCCACATCCAGGGAATGCGTCTGCTCTTCTGACATTTTTTGCGGAAGAGCAGACGTGCTCTTTCAGAAGCCCCGTCTTCCTCGTGCCATGAGGAAGAAGGGCTCTTCCAAGAGAGGAGGTTTTTTTCTTAAATTTGGCCCAGTGTAGATGGGCCAAATTTCAGAAAAGCCTCTTCCGACAAAACTATCGGAAAAAGGTATGCAAATTACGGAGTGCAATTTGTATACCTTTTTCTGATAAAAAGAGGCAGTGTAGACATAGCCTGAGAGAGTGAATTTTTGGGGCCTCATTCTCTGCTGCTCTGCACTTGATATAGTCTTTGTATAATAGGTGCTAACAAAATCAGAATAATAGAGCTTTGCACATGAGTGTAAATGACTACAGCATGTAAGCAGTGAAGAATCAGGATTATCGACTAGAGAGAGAGAGAGTCTAGTAGCTTGAAAACAGGGCTGGGTACCTCGGACATTGTTTTCTTCTGCTTTTGGTGAAACACTTTTATGATCTTCTCTTGCAAGGTGTTAAGCAGCTCCTTGGCAGTTGAAGGAGCTCAGAACTTCCCAGGAGTAGTTCAACATCCTAAAATGGGGGTTCAGCCAGGGATATGTGTACCCATTGGGGGTACAGAAGTCTTCCAGGAGGGCAGATCATCTAGATATATAATTAGTTTTACATCAGGCTACATAAGCACTAGTGAAGTCAGTATAAACTAAAATTTAATGTAGACAATGACTTTTTATATTGTTCTATACATTGTACACTGAAAGATAAGATGTGGAGAAATTGGAGAAGGTCCAGAGAAGAACAACAAGAATGATTAAAGATCTAGAGAACATAACCTATGAAGGAAGACTGAAAGAATTGGGCTTGTTTAGTTTGGAAAAGAGAAGACCGATGGGGGACATTATAGCAGTTTTCAGATATCTAAAAGGGTGTCACAAGGAGGAGGGAGAAAACTTGTTCTTCCTGGCCTCTGAGGATAGAACAAGAAGCAATGGGCTTAAACTGCAGCAAGGGAGGTTTAGGTTGGACATTAGGAAAAAGTTCCTAACTGTCAGGGGTTTCTAACTGTCAGGGTGGTTAAACACTGGAATACATTTCCCAGGGAGGTTGTGGAATCTCCATCTCTGGAGATATTTAAGAGTAGGTTAGATAAATGTCTCTCAGGGATGGTCTAGACAATACTGGGTCCTGCCATAAGGGTAGGGGACGGGACTTGATGACCTCTTGAGGTCCCTTCCAGTCCTAGTATTCTACGATTTTTTATTTATTTTATGATTGTCATAAAAATGAGAAAGTAGACAATGTTTCAGTAATAGTGTGCTGTGACACTTTTTAATTTTTATGTTTTATTTGTAAGCAACTGGTTTTTAAGTGAGGTGGAACTTTGGGGTGTGCAAGACAAATCAGATTCCCTAAAGGGTACAGAGAGCCACTGTCCTAGAATATGGGAGGCTTTAGGCTTGCGGTGAGGTAGGGAACACTTTCTTCACCCAGGAGGGCTTAGTGTTTAGTAAGATCACACCCAACATTTATGCCTAAATTTTATTAGTGAAAGGGAGATAAATGCAGGGTATCTAAATAAGTTTTTCTTTAGTGGCCTGATTTAGTATTTGCAATTAGCAGTGTTGTAGCCGTTTTAGTCCCAGGATATTAGAGTGATATTAGGGTTGGATCGACTTCTGATGGTTAAAGAGAGACGCTTTCCAACTACACAGAGTTAGTATTCAGGTCTGGGAAGATACTAAGGACTCTACACCAGGAAATTGGGTTGGAATAACTATGTCACTCAAGGGTGTGAAATCCACACTCCTGAGTGGTGCAGTTTAACCAATCTAATCCCTGGTGTAGACAGTGCTAGGTTGACAAGATAATTATTCTATCAAATTATCCTCTACCTCTTGGGGAGGTAGATTGCCTATGCTAATAGGACAACCTCTCCTACCCACCTTAGTAGTTTCTTCACTGCAGAATTTTAAGTGTAAGAGTGTCACAGCTAAACAGGAGGCAGAACAGATTGTTTAGCATAAGGCGTTAAGACCTATTTTAAGGCACCATTCAAGGTGAAGTGGCCTGTTAATATCTTTGCAGCTCTAGGACCAAAAAAGGAGGGAAGGTTTTAGTGGATTACAGACTATTGTAATTATGCCATAAACAGAGTGGCTACGTCTACATTGGCATCCCTTTCCGGAAAAGGGATGCTAATGTGACACTTCGGAATTGCAAATCTGCGAGGGATTTAAATATCCCCCGTGGCATTTGCATTTACATGGCTACCGCTTTTTTCCGGCTTGGGGATAAGCCGGAGAAAAGCGCCAGTCTAGACGCGATTCTCTGGAAAATAAGCCCTTTTCCGGAGGATTTCTTATTTCTACTTGAAAGTAGGAAAAGGGCTTATTTTCCAGAGAATCGCGTCTAGACTGGCGCTTTTCTCCGGCTTATCCCCAAGCCGGAAAAAAGCGGCAGCCATGTAGATGCAAATGCCGCGGGGGATATTTAAATCCTTCGCAGATTTGAAATTCCGAAGTGTCACATTGGCATCCCTTTCCGGAAAAGGGATGCTAATGTAGACCCAGCCAGTGTCTATCAAAAGCAGGATTTTTATGCACCAATAACTAAGTGGATGAAACCAGACAATCACTGTACTCTCAAACAATTCACACAGCAAAATGATAAAAAACAAAAACGTCACATCACCCATGGGCAAACACTTCACAAAATGATCACTCTGTATGTGATCTCTCAGTCCTCTTCCTCAAAAGAAACCTGCACAACACCTTCAAAAGATGAGCCTGGGAGCATAAATTCATTATTTTGCCTGGGAACTCATTAATGGATCTAAAAGTGACTGTACTCTTACAAAGCAGTTTCAAAAAACAGCTGGAGAGAGAAACTACAGAACTTGCCTCCATATGCAAATTTGACACATTTAACCAAGGTTTGAACAAAGACATGAACTAGATGAGCCATCATATTCAACACCAAAATGATATCAAAAGCTAAGTATCGGGCACTTACAGCCCAATCTATTAGCCTCATTTAGCATGGACACTCTAATTGACAAGATCTTTGTTCCCCTTTCCCTCCCTATCTCCCCTCTTTTTCTGCTATTTATTTGTACCTCTGGGCCCCCTGCTCCATTCATCTGAAGAAGTGGGTTGTGCCCACGAAAACTCATGATACTATCTTCATTTTTTGTTAATCTCTAATGTGCTGCATGACCATTTGTTGTTTTTTAAATTATTTTGCTAGACACTAAAAATTATGGTAGTGTTAATAAGGACACTAGATTTATGGCTTATTACAATAATCTTTTGATTTAATGTACAACTATTAAGAACAGCACCCCAGTGGGGAATTACATGTAAAGGACGAGAGAGGTTTGCCCACTACTTAGCCCTTTGATGTTTTCCCCTCCTTTATGACTTTTTTTTCATTATAGAAAGTACTCAGTATTATTCACTATTATTACTTTTCAGATGTTTACGCCAATTCCCAACACTGGCTACTTTTGCTGATATTAGTAAAGTGGGTCTATTTATGTATTTGTTTTTAACCAGATATTATAGGCTTGATTCTGCTCCATTAAAATCAATGAGAGTTTTTCTTTAGTTTGAAGTGGAAAAGGATCAAGTCCTAAATTATAGAGCGATAAAGAGAAGATGAACATGTGCTTTCAAGAGTGCGCTAATATTAGTTGGTTATAACCAACTTAGTCTCTCAACCCATTTGTTACATAACTTAAGCAGATGTATAGAAATTGTTTATTTTTTCCCCCTAGTTACAGGGATGCAGAAAAGAACTTTCACAATATATCAAACAGATGCTCCTATACAGACTGCTCTGGCAACGATGAAGCTGAAGATGTCTCAGGAATTCTCCAGTGTACAGCTAATATACTCGGTACTTTTTTTTTTTTTTTTAAATATGACTCATTTGCTTTGGAGGTGTGTTGTGTTTTTTGTTTTGTTTTGTTTTTGTTTTTTGTTTTTGTTTTTGCCAGTCCTATCATTAATCATGAATGAAGATCTTTTCTGTTCCAATCAGGGTAGCTTAGACTGCATTCAGCATCATCATATCATGCTGGTGGTGTCCAGGTTATCTCCTTTTCCAGGCATATTTTACCTGTCTGAAATAATCCATCTTGCTTTTTCACGGAGCATTTGCTTTCTACTTTGTTGTCACAGAGTATAGGAATTTCAATACTCTGGAGTTGGGTCTGAAATTCATTTGGTGTTGAAGTATAATGGAAAAAAATGAATTTGGCTCTCAGAGATAGGTCAAGAGGTGTTATTCTGTTAGGTACATTGATATGGGGCCTGGAGAAACCATGTTTTAGCAGAATGTAGTCCCCTGAATCATAAGATTATCTTTGTACTGAAGGATCCCAAATGTTCCAAACTTGCATGAATGTGGAAAAGAGATAATGCACCACTGATGTGCACCCACCTCTGGGTTGACATATGCTACTGCTAAGTCAATGCAGCAGCACTGCACAACAGGACAGGGAATGAAGAATGTTACCCTACCAAACTGAAAGAACCGAGGTTGGCAGAATATTTACTGGAGTTGGAATTTGGCCAGACTAACCTGTTTTCTGCATGTTGCGAAAGACAGATGTGAAGCCGTAATTTAGTTTCATTGCTGCACTGTATATGAGATTTTAAAGTGAAAGTTGTGTATTTGTGTGATAAATTAGTCAGTTTCAGATTATGGGTTCAAATAGAGGCAACTGACCCTAAACAGAAAAAACTCTCTTCTACTACAACTTTAGGGTATGTCTAGACTGCAGTCAGGGGGTGTGATTGCAGCTTGTGCAGACAGGCCCAAGCTAGGTTTATTCTCACAATGTTGGGTCCTTCAGCAGTGAAGCTGTGGCAGTGTCAGCCAGACTTGAGAGTGATTATTTAGGGCTATGAACTGGCTTGTACAGCCTGTGCTGAGGCTTGCAATGCCATGGCCTCACTGTTTGGGTACCTGAGCTAACTAGATTAAAGATAGATTAGCTAGGCTGGCTCCTTCACATCCTCTGATCTTTGTCCAGGCCTAGCCTTTGTTCCTGTTCTCCCCTGGGCGTCAGTAAGGTTTTATTGATTCTCAGTTTTTCTCTTTTTCTGTGAAAACTGATCTTAATCCACACTGAAATTAAAAAAAAAAAGAGAACTTTTCACTAAGAACTTTAATGTAAAATGGGTCATTTAACCCTTTTTTGTCAAAAACCCTTTTCATTTTTGTTGTTTTAGAGAAACTGTTACAGATCACCTTCAGCCACTGATGAATTAGCTAATTTAAACATATGTAATGGAGCTCCTGTTCTCCTGCAGTGGGTCATGTGCTTCCAGGCCGCAGAAGGATGAGTATTTTCTCTCCTCATCTGAGTAAACTGCAACTCCCAGTCTAATTGCTCACCTCAGTGGCTCTCTACAGTTCTCAGTTTAACCCCCTTAATTCAGGGGCAAGCCATAGTCTGATTTAGTCACACTAATCTGCTACCAGGGGGAAAAGGGAGAGGAAAAATTTCTTAGGCTAGGGAGAGCAATAATTTTTGGTGGGAGGCCACTCCAAGATTTTTGAAAGTGGTCAAGGGCCACATTTTTCTGTGGAGGTGCGGTGTCTAGGATGGTGCAGAAGGGCGCATGGGGTAAGGGACTGGGGTGCAGGAGATGGTGTGAGGTCTGAGAAGGAGTTTGTGTAAAGGAGGGGGCTGTAACCTGGAGAAGGGGATTTGGGGGCAGGTACTGGGAGGGGGTCTGGATTCAGGAGAGGGGTATTGGAGGGGTACGGGGTCTGGGAGGGAGTTGTGACATGGGGGTAGGGGGGTGCAGAGGATTTAGATGGTGACCTGAGAGAGGGGGTTGGGGTGCAGGACAGGCAGGTGTGCCAGAGGCAGGCTTTGGCTGGGAGGCACTTACCTAAGTGTCTCCTGGCCAGCAGCCCTGCAGTACCCCCTAGGCAGGCTGGGCTCCTTGCCTGCAGCTGTCCCAGACCACTTAAAACTGCAGGTGACTCTCTCTATGTGGCTCTCCACTCTGGGAAGGGGAGAGGCTTGTACTGCCCCTGTCCCTCTGGCTGATCTCTCAGTTTCTATTGGCTGGTTGTTTCCAGGAGCTGAGGATTGGGCTGGAGGCAGGAAGATAACCTGAAGCCTCTCTCTCCCTCCAGAGAACAGAGCCACATGGAACAGCCCTGTGCTTACATCAGTGGCTGCTGCATGCCTAGGGGTCCCGGCAGGGTGTGCGCAAACCAGTTCGGGTGGCTTGGCTGGCTGGATCTGGCCCACGAGAGTTATCTTGCCCACCCGTCTTAGGCCCAGCCTACACTGGCAAGTTACTCTGTAGAAAATCAACCCCCAGCATTGTAACTTTCAGTGTCAACATTGGCAAGGCATTTAGTGCTTTTCAGTTAGTGCACTCTAGGTAAACCACCTCCGTGAGAAGTGTAGAGCTTGCTGTGTTCTGGGTAGTGCACTGGGTTGTCAGTGTAGACACCTTGGTGTAGTACTGCATCCTGGTTGGCTTCTGGCACCCTTCCCACAATCCCTGTTCTCTATTTGAAGTCTCCTGCCCTGCTCAGGTGATCAATCATGTGACCAAGATCCACCCCTGCATTCTTTTTGAAATTTGAAAGTCCCCTACCTGTTTGCTCAACAACACGTGGTGTTCTCAGTGCATCTCTCCAGCTGTCAATGCCTGCTCCAAGCACTGAGATTCCCTGCTTGGAGCCATGTACCTCATCAGCATTTGGGGAGAGGAGGCAGTCCTAATAATTATAATATCTATGGGCACATCTCTAGGCTCATGACCAAAAGGCAGCATGACCAGGATGCACTGAGGTGTAGGATCAAAATGAAGGAGCTGCAAAACCCCTACTGCAAGACACTGAAAGCAAACCACTGCTCTGATGCTGTGCCCAGGACCTTCATGTGGTACAAAGAGTCGGATGCTGTAGTTGGAAGTGATCCCACCTCCACTCTGAAGACCCCTGTGGATACCTCATGGTCTAGGGGGCACCTGACAGTGGACTGAACCAGGAGGAAGAAGTTGTGGCAGAGTGTGCTGATGGGGAGAGGGACCCAGAGTCAGAAGAGGACTTGGCACCCACAGAGGCTTGCAGCCAGGAGCTGTTTGTACCCCTGTAGAGGCGGACCACTCACAGCCTTTGGAGACTATGGATGATCTGACTGGTAAGTGGTTGGGAAAGCACTCAAGCAACTTTCTGGGAGCAGGAAGGAGGCTGGGTTCAGTGTGATGATGCTACCAGCAGAGGGTCGGACAGAGGGTGACCAGACCATTGATGCAGTCTCTTAAATCTCAGTAATCCACCTCACAGATCTCATTGAAAGCTAGAAGTAGCTGCTGTGCCACCCTTCCCAGATTAGCTGGCAGACCAGTTGTGGAATTTGACACCTGAAGGCTGACATTTCTTTGCCACTGTGCTGTCACCTCAGGGGGGAGGGGGGAAGGGCAGGACCATTGCTGTTCAAAGACAAGCTGTGTATGGTCCTGGACGGAACTCCAGTCGAGTAAAAGACCCTCATTCGCTTCCCTGCTCACCCTAAGCAGTGAAATGTCTTCCAGGGTAAACACAGCCTGTGGAACTGAGTGGCAATTACTTATTCATTCCTCCCCCCACACTCATTCTCCCCAGTTCACTCCTGCCCAGAACACAGTACAGCCATGGGCGAATGATAGCCCCTGCTCTCCAGCATTCTACCTTGCTGCACCAAAGGATTCTCTAGCAAGGGGTTCCCCTGCTCTTTCCCCTGACCAGCTGCATGAAGGGATACCCCTGCCCACGCCACCACAGCAAGAGTTTGCCTCGCCATTTCCCCTGCCCTGCTGCACCTAGGGTTTCCCTTGGTGTCCTTAGTAGTGAACTCCCCGTTGTGGGGTTCCTGTATGGTATGTATGCTCTCTCTGGGACAGGCAGTGCTAGGTATGGTGTCAGTGCAAGTGTTTCAAAGGGGTTGGAATAATACTGTGTCTAACCCCTTCTGTGGGCCTTCTGTGACCTGTTGCAATTTTGTCCTTGATAGAATGGGCCATGGAATGCCAGTCTCAGGAAATTCTAAGTCCTCAAGGATGCTTCTGTGTCCATCTCAGACACTCAAGTTTTTGTGAGACATCCTGAGCCACACAGATGCTGAAGAGAAAAAATTGCAGGAGTGGAGGAATGGAGCAGCTGAGCGACTAGACCCTCTTGCAGCTGGTGTCCCAAAACGTTTTCTGATACACCCCCTGACTCAGCCAATGCAATGTGGGCACCAGTGTGTCCCTGGGCATCACCTGCTACACCCTGCAGCTGCCTGCCCAACCTTCACCCATTCAGAGTCCTTCAGGCTGCTGATGCACTCAATGCCAATCTGCATGCAGCTTAGCCTGATGAACTGCAGCCCCCCCTTCCATAGCCCGTCAGACAGCAGGGCTGCATATGAACTGTGGACATATACAAATCTGTGAAATTATAGGGCCATGCTTTACCACTTGCCTCTCCCACCCTCTCTGTCTCTCACAGTGCAGATGTTTGTTTCATGCTTAATGGGCATCCTATATTTACTTTGTGATTAATAAATGTGTTTCAGATAAATGTTTATTCTATTACATGAAAGCAAGCAAACAATAAAGCATACCTCACCAAAGCGCTAAGTCTGGCACATGGACCAATGAGAGTACCCCCAAGCTGTTACTTGGGCTGCTCAAACTTGGCCTCCAGATGCTGTGCCTCAGCGATCCAGCGCTGAGTGAAACTTTCATCCTCCCTTCACAAATATTATGGAGGATACCACGCGTGACAATAACCATAGGGATGTTATCACTGGCCAAGTCCAGCTTCCTGCACAGATATTGCCAGAGGGCCTTCAAACGGCCAAAAGTGCACTCTACAGTCATTCTGCACCTGCTCAG